AGCTCTACCCTCTTAATATATTTTAAGTACATAGTAACGTATTGTCGACTGTGGGCACGACCTTGTGTGGCACATCTCTGGAACTCACTCATCCTGCGTGACTGTAAATTCTGAAATTCTATTGTAACTAATGAAAATTACCACACTTTCACATCAAAGCAGATTCAGAACCAAAAAGAGGTGGGAGAAAAAAACACACGTTGTGTATACAGGACGCACATAGCTGATGTGCTATGACACCCAACTTGGGGGATGAAAATCTACTGACAGACACACCCTCTTTTCTCATTTGAAAAGAATGTAATATAGCAGTTCTGTTGTCTCATTTCCATGTATTTATATCTCACCTACACTGTCAAACTAAAATAATTCAGAGGATCAAGAGACACATGTGCCTAATTTCTATTTTAAACAGAAATGCTTGCTTTAGTTTAGCCTTTCCCCCCAAAACACCATTGTTTATAAAGCTTTTATCTTATAAATACCCCCATTCTCTTCTCCTCCCCAAAATCTACTGTGATAATTACAACTTGACCTTATCATTAAAACTCTAGGTCTTTCCACATTTGTAAAATGGAAATACTTTTAATATCACCACATAGGGTGTGGTAAGGATTTTTCAAAAGTAACAAGAGTATGGATATAAACTAGTAGGTCTCAGTAAGCACCAGTCTCCTCACCACACTCTGCTTCTCCAGCGTCAACTTTTAGGGCCAGAGCTAGCTATGACGTCTGCTTCAGAGCTGTAAACAGAGCAAATGGATTAACCATGATGCCGATTTTGTCAGTGTCCTAAAGTGGATTTCCATCTCTTTATCCCAGAAAAGAACACTACTCTTTTTTTAGACTGACGTATAGTTGATGTGCAGTATTACATGTTACAGGTGTACAACATATTGAATCCCAATTAAAAATTTTTATACTCCATTTATAGTTACTATAAATTAGTGGCTATATTCCCTGTGTTCTACAATGGATCGTCATAGCTCATACAGAGAACAAACTAGTGGTTACCAGCGGGGAAAGGAGGGGCGTGATAGGGGTCGGGGATTAAGAGGTAAAAACGACTGTGTGTAAAATCAACAGTGCTCCTTCTATGCTCCTCCCAGACCTTAATCCAGCGCCTAAAGCTCAGACCTACTGTTAGTTTCAGCCACCAGGTGGCATGATAATGAATTGGTGTGCTTCCCTTCTAACAGCTTTGAAGGAGATTCTGAAGTAGGTGTTTGTACTTAACAAGACAAATGTTCAGGAGACTAGATTCCATTTTCTGACACCATTTCCCTCGGTGCTACAGCTCATCGCTCACCTGTTAGAGCCCGGCTGGGTCTCACGTTCGAGATGCATCGGGAAGGTCCACGCGCAGCCTTCCACTCCTGATCAGATGACGGCAATGGCTGTTTTAAGGCTCATAAACCTGTGACCTTCATAGATCAATTTCAGAGCACTGCTGTGCTTAAATGAACACAGTCCCAGCAACCAGGAATAATTTTAAAATAACTGAAACTAGCATTACTCAGTATTACGAAGGGGACAGGAAACCTCCCAGCAATAAATTTTAAAATCCTTTTTAGGTTCTTCCTAATCCACTGCCCCGGACGTACAGCTCTGCTTCTCAAACCAGGGAGAACTCCTACAGCCTGTTTTTGCTTCCTCCTTGTTGCTCTCTTCCCTGCCCACTCTTGTATCATTTCTCCACTGTCCAGCCCAGGAGCTGTGCAAGACTACATCTTGGAGGGGAAGAGAAAGGCAGGCTCTGATACAATCCTTGCCAGAAATCTCTAGGGGATAAACAAAAAATCCAGGAAAACTCAAAAATTAATCAGTTCATTATAAACTGGATAAAAGCCTTTTGTCAGCTACATATTTGCAAAAAAAAAAAATCCCATCTGTGGCTTAGCTTTTTTAACTGCTTCTTTCAAAGAGCAGTAATTTTTAATCTTAGGGGGAAAAAGTGATACAGCAATAAAATGTAAACCCTGAAGAATGTAAAAAAAATTGTTTATCTTGGCGTATTGTATCCAACCTGAAGTAAATGCAACAAATAGTGCTGCAAATTACAAAGGAATAATGAGATCTCGTCAGCGGAAGCACTGAATTGGGAGTCTGAAGTTGCAGTCCAATCCTTGTGCCCCAGTAAGTTGTATGAACTTGAAAAGGTGCCTTTACCTCTTTATTCACTTGTTTCCTTTTATTGATAAGGAAACCAAGGCTTTTCTTAAGAAGAGGGAAAGACTGACTTAAGGTCACACAGGTCAGGGGTGAACAGGAAAGCTCCAGGAAGGCAGGAACCACGTCTTTATGTGCTTTTTTTATCCCTGGTACGTACGTGTAAGCACTGAGTGCCTTAGATGGACGCAGGACCTGTACCTGGGCTCTCTGAATCCAGAGCCAAGGTCCTCTGGCCTGGCCCACTTGGCATCTCCCTTCCTCCCTGCACCTCTTTTCTTTTAAGGTCCCACCCTCTTCAGATGATTCACAAGCACTTCTAGTCTATGCATGTACAGTATCAAATACCAGTCCTGACCCATTTCATTCTTTTGATGATAATATCTCCATTATTAACTAGTATTTTTTGAGTTAACATTTAGCTCTTCAGAGCCTCCAAGTTGCATGTTTTTTGGAACTAGGTGGCAAATTTTTCTCCTGTTGCTCTGAAATTATTTCCCCATTTTCTCTAAAATGTAAAATTATGTATTTATCCACTTACTGTTAGCATCATGATTTATGTAGGTAACTTCAAGAACTGCTTGGATGTATTCAGAATTTTTTTATTGAGGTATAGTTAATTTATAGTATTGTGTTAGTTTCTGGTATACAGCAGTGATTCAGCTATACACATACATACATTCTTTTTCATTATAGGTTATTACAACTTAATAGAGTTCCCTGTGCTATACAGTAGATCCTTGTTTATCTATTTTATATATAGTAGTCTGTATCTGCTAATCCCAAATTACCAATTTATGCCTTCCCACCCCGGTAATCATAAGTTTGTTTCCTGTTTGTGAGTCTACTGTTTTGTAAAGTTTATTTGTATCTTTTTTTAGATTCCACAGATCAGCGATATCATACGGTATTTGTCCTTCTCTGTCTGACTTAGTTCACTTAGTATGATAATCTCTAGGTCCATCCATGTTGCTGCAAATAGTGTTACAGACGTAATTTTTTTAAGTGTTAGGTATTTTTACGTGTCTGGTGCGTTGAGGGACAGAGTCGGGGCAATGGAGGAAAACAAAGTAGGAAAGACGCTGTACATTGTGTGTTGCATCCACAACTGGTGGATGACATTATATAGCACCCTACAGTTTGCCAGACATGCTTATTACCTGATTAATTACCTCCTCTCAACTATCATGAGGGATCGGTCTTGTTGTGAACTAGTTTACAAATGGGAACCTGAGGCTGAGCATCGTATAAGTGGCTTGTTCAGTATCACCCTATGGGCTCTGAGAGTCACACCTAGGTTCTCTGCTCTCAGAACAAATTTTGAGCCAGGACAGTAGAATAATTAAGGGTATGCTGTCCTTACCCAGATTGGTCAGTATCAGCATCCCAGTTTTGCTACTTGTTAGCTATATGAGCTAAATAAGGCAAGTAGTTTAAGCTTTCTGTGCCTCAGTTTACCATTGTCAAAATGGTAAGAAAATAGAGCCTACCTGCCACATTGGTTTTTTAGGGGAACTTTTAATGCGTGTAATTTTCTTAAGACTACAACCAGCATGTTAGGAAACAGAGAGAGAGAGTGTGTGTGTGTGCATTTTCATTTGCATGCCTGTGCGTGTTTCCACTAGACAGAACTGTTTATCATGTTTCTGGAAATCTCTCACATTAGCTTCCTGAAGTGCATTCCCTTTCCTTTATACAAAAGAGCTGATTCCAGGCGGCAGCCTCATTATGAATGATGGAGTGGTGCATTTATGAGAAGATGGTGAGTCTGCATCAGACCATCCGTGCAGGAACAGGGTCCCACTGTGTAGAAGAGGGACAGAGACTGGACTCTGACCTCTCAGGTAACCGTCACTAAGGCGTTTCTCAGGCAACACCCGAGGCCGCGGGAGCTGACTGCCATGTAACCCTGCAGCCCACAGAACGTAATGCAGGCTGCAATTTAAAATTTCATGCAGGAAGGGAAAGGTACAGGTTTCACGGAGTCTGTGGATCAAACACAAGGCGAGAGCTAAGTGGCTGCCCAGTGTATCAAGCATGGAAGCAGGCGGCGTGGCTTCGAGTTGTTTCCTAATCAATTTTATTGATTAAACCTCACACTGTCTAACATGGCTCGTGGTGCCTGGACTTCTAAAACCAGCCTTTGAACAAAGTGAGGAGACTCAATCCACACAGGGAGTAGAAATACTGTTCAAATACTGTTGAGGATTTGCCGTAGAGCCACGAAAAACTCAGGGACCAAAACTGAGACTCCAAAGGTTAGGGTCACACGTGCTAAATGCTTTCACTTAACTTTGAGGTGCCACATCTGCCCTGCTGCCCTCCACAAACCTAGAAGGACGGAAGCTCTGCTCTCTGAGCCGGGCAGGAGCAGCAGCCCCAGGGCCCTCCTGGGCGGGTGAAGACAGCCCCTCGCTGCCTGGCTGGGTGCATTTCTTTGTCAGCCTCATCATTTCTCTTTCTCATCGTCTTCACTCACATCTGACCATGCTGTTAAACCACCCTCACTCTGCCTCTGGGAGGCCGTATGGACTTGCAGAATCACATGAATTTCAGGGTCAGAGCAAACCAGGTCTGTCTGAGTCCATGGTTTGCTTTTTATTAGGTATGTGACAGAGGACAAATGACTTCTCTGCTTCAGTATCTTTGTCTGTAAATGGAGATGAAAGTAGCAATTTACAATACTGTCAGGAGAATTAAATGAGATCGTACATAGGAAAATGCAGGTCCATATAAGGTACTTATAAGTCAGTCAGGAGAGAGAAACAGAAGGCAGCAGTTGTTCTGGCTTTTAGAGAGAAAGAATTTCTGGCAAAATACAGACGAGTGTGTTACTTGGTAATAAAATTTTAATTTGACTGAGATCAATGAAACACCTCATGTGCTGACTACAAATATATACTCGTCCTCAATCCCAAGGAAGATCTATCAGGGCTATTTCCTTTCATTAAAGAGCAATATACATATTGATCCACTCTCCTAAGTGGACCTGTGGTTTGCTTTCATGCATTACACTTGTGTTCTGCAGAAGGCACACATCTTCCAATAACCTTTAGTTCATAATTCATTATGTCACATTAGAGGCTAACGTGAACACAGGGTCCCCCATCAGGAAGCAGCACCACTCAAGGAGCATGGCTCCTACTGCCTTCTCAACCCTGAGCTGCGTGAGCCTCCCCTCAGCTGACCTGTGTGGGAGCCAGGGGAGAATCCTTGCCCACCCCTGCAGGCCAGCCTCTTATCCCTGAGACCAAAGCAACTGCACAGCAGGGCCGGGGCGCAGCCCTTTCACTCAGGACCAGAGATGAACAGCGCTCCAACTAGCCAAGGGGGCTGTTAGGCCTGACGGCACAAGGAGGGCTGGAGAACCGCCAGGGCCAGCATCTGCTGTTTCATAAAGGTGGCGAGAGGCATGCTGACCATCATGTTCATGTGGGCAAAACATGCAACATGTTCGCTTTCGGGACGATGGCAGTGCACTGTCCTGTGGACTTAGAAATGAAAATAGTAACAGTGCGGTCCTGGATGCCCAGATGCCCGGGTGATGCACCGCCAATGGCTCTGTCTTGCTGTGTCTTTCTGGAACTCTGAGTGCCTGAGACCTAACCTGCAAAATGAATTAATTAAGGATTTTTTTGCTAATTCATTGCCAGGGAAGTGAAGGAATGAATGACACAGAAAGGTCCTGGGCATTCTGCAAGTCTGAGGACAGTAAAGCCAGAGCTGGGCCTTTCTCTACCTCTGCTGCGTGCTGGCTTTATTACTATACATTCTTTTATTCCTCCTGACTAAACAGCAGTCCTTCCTTTGCATCTCTGTCTCTTAGTTATGAAACAAAATTTTTGCCACCAAGTGAAACAGAAGCTAAAGCACTCTCAATAGGTAGGGCTGGAAATAGGCACTACGTACCTCCTCAGGGCCTGTCCCCGTCACATGGCAACACTGGATGCAGCTGGAATCCAGCTTCTCTAATGAGTGAGAGAGGGTAACTCCCTAGTGAGGTTCTTCCTCTCAGGAACCACACTTATGGACGTAATACAACACTGGTTTTCAGTTGGTTCTCACTTCTATGAAGGGTTCGGCTGGCTTAATTCTGAGAAAGAATTGGTTTTAGTTTATCCTTCGTGAACCTTTGTCCTTTGATATGTGGTAACAGAAGTTTTCTGCCTGTTATGACGGGGTCTCTTTCATTTTCTTATTGTCCTTAATATCCGAGGATCACGGCGGAACGTCCTCCCACAGCGCTGCGGCGCGGCAGAGGTGCGCGGGAGGAGCAGGCAGGGCCGGTTTGTCGGGCCTCTCTTTTCTTCCTCCGTTTTGGCAGATGACTGGTAGAAAGGGAATATAAAATGACATAAAACAAAATTCACAGGATAATTCTAAAACTACTTTGTTGGTACAATAATTTTAAGACACATATTTACACACAAACCTTTTAATGCTAAAGACCATCCAATTAATTCCTTCAGGTCGTGTATGAAAAACAGAGACTAAGTGACTACCCCAGGGTCACCGAGGGAAAGGGTGACCCAGGAGCACCCTAAGTCTTCCCACACGTTAGACCCGTCAGAAACTGAAATAGGACCTAAAGATTAGTGACTTGGGGGACAGTAAAATGGAAGTGGCGCAAGGGCTGCCGCTGCCCTTGCACTAACGGATCTGACCCCCTTTCCCCGTGAGCCCACACGCACAGCCTGGGAGGCCGCCTCAGCCCCGCGCTTCAGCAGGCAGCCACTCCCGCGGCTTAGAGGTGTCACACAGTGTGAAGTGTACTTCCTGTCTCTGGTTCAGCAGTTAAGCGCATGGTGTTTTGAGCTGGACTGACCAATGTTCAGATTCCAGGTCCACCACTCGGCAGCTGCTCGACCTGGAGCAAGTGACTTCTCTAAGCCTTGGGTTCCCCTGTAAAACGGAAGGTATGTTCTCCTTGCCTGTTAGATGTTGTGTAAAGGGCTGAAGCATTAGTTTTAGCAAAATGTGTGAGGAGAGTTTTAGGGGACTTTTCATCGGTGTCTTAAGCCTCTTTGCTAGACTTGATATTAAAAACAGGAAATCAGCCCAGGAGAGACTCTGTTACAAATAAAATCTAGCCGACAGGACCGACTCGGTCCGTCTTCAGCCACGTCCCCAATGTCCCTCCAAAGTACCTGCTGCACTGAACTACAGTTCAGCTAAAGACGGCTCATTTGTGGGCTAAAGGAGCCTGAAAAGGTTTTAGAATTCAGGACAGAATCAATGTCAAAGCTGAATCTGGAGATGAAGTGCTCTTAGATCCTGTCTAGAAGCAAAGGGTGCAAGAGACAAAGAACACGTACAGGGTGGCCAGGTCAGAAAGGCTCTTTGATTGCATGTCCTTTCCGGAGACACGGACCAGGAAGAGGGCGCTAACAGCAGTCACACACACACTTGACTGAACCAAAGGTGACGCTTTTTCACCGATGCCCACTGGCGCTTATTTGCGGAGCCGGGATCTGGGGCAAACAGCTTGCCGCATCTCTTAATGCTGACTTTCAGCACTTTTTAATTGGAGATCTATTTCTTTCCTATGAAAACCTGTTCCAGTCACTCTTTGGCATGAATTGTTTTCTGGAAAGCACGGTGTCGAAGTGAGACTGTCAGAGAGTTGTGCTGGATGGTGACATGTTCAGGCTCCTGTGTGATGTGGAGCGGTTCAGATAATCACTTTAAATATTTCAGTAACACAGTAGTAAATATTTTAAAAGTATACAGTGACAGTGCTGCTGTTTATCACACTTACACTGCTTTTTTTATTTCTAACAAAATGTCTTCCGGGGCTATGTCAAGACTCACCTTCGAATATTATGGTTGGTAATAGATGCTCCTGAAGAGTTTGTGTTTATACTGGTAGTCGGTGAGTCATGGTAACCTGGGGAAGGGCAAAAGCAAGACAGAATTTTCTACTGAGGAGATAAGGAGACGCCACAGAAAAAACTGTCGGGCGCTCTCCAAGTTCTCTATCTCCTGAAGTCATGAATTAGTCACGGCAAGGGCACGAATGTTCCCAGCAGGTGACGCTTCCCCGGTTGTCCGGGAGGTTTAACCCTCAGTACATACTTACCGTTAGGAGTGACGCCTCCCACCTTTGTGTCTGTGTCTATGGTGTGACTGTGAGCCGAACTTCTCGCTTCTGGTCATCTGCTTTTCTGCAAGAGAAAACAGGTAGACAAAATCCAGATGTTAGCATGGCTCCTAGAGTCTGTGTCTCTGAATATTGCTTAATTATTGAGAGAGCGCCTCTCACAAATTTTCAGGTGTGAGCTTCCAATTCATTTTTTTCCATTTACATAAAAAGTCAATTGAAACAGGAGTCTTTGTTGCTGCCTTCATGGAATCTTCTCGTGGGATTTCTCACAGATTTCTGTGCTCGAAACCAAACTTCGATCAAAAACTAGACTGGAAGTTCTGCAAAATATCATGGGAGTGGTCCAGGATATAGTGTATTCCTGTCACACAAAGAATTCCTTTCCAGCTAGGCTGCCTCCTGGCCTGGCATCTGTTCTCTTGAGAACTGTATAAAGGCTACAACATTTAGGTTTGTACCTTCCTACAACTTAATGAATCTACTTCCTACAACTTAAATCTTAAAAAAAAAAGTGACAATAAGATGTTCGAATAGTCTTTTTTTAGAAATTGGGGGCCATACTGTGTGGGGGATAAAAGTACAGCAGACAGAACCAGACCTGCTTTGAGCCTGTGGCATCACGTACATTCTTAAGGGCTCTGAGAACCAAGCGTTTGATCTGCCAAACAGGGATGACAGCCGTACCTCCTTCACAGAGTTGAGGAGTGAGCGAGATGATACAAGGAACCCAGCACGGTATCTATATAATAGATGACAGCTATTATTTTTTAAGGGTTTTATAAATTTAGATCATTTGATCTCAAAAATTACTCTATGGGAACAAAAACTCTGGATGTGCCTAAGTATGAAGGGGTAATTTTAGCCATGATGTAACAGTTCTGTTGCAAAGAAGGGACTCTGGTTCACAACTGGAGAAGGACTGAACGTCTTGTGAGAATGAGTCCACTCTCCTTCCCACAAGGCTGACACCAGGCAGCGCCCTCGGTGGGGAGGCTGCAGCTCTCCATGTGGTAGTCAAACTCGGAGGCCAGCTTCACCTGCCGCAACCAAAGCGCCGTGAGGCAGGCCGTGTGCCCGGCAGGGAAGCCCCTTCCGGGAGCGTTCTGTTTCATTTCTCAAGTCATCACTCCGTTCACGTCCCTCTTCTGTTTGGGCAGGGTCACATGTGGCAATTTTACAGCCCGTGTGGGCAGCTAATTAATAATAATTCAGATAAAGCCTTTTCTGTTGGCAAGGGCACTGTAGATCAATTTTAGTCAACTGTGTCCAGTCCTGTTGGAATAATAAACTCAATAATATTAGAGATACTGTGAAATCCACATACTTTGTCCAGCCTGAATGGGATTAAAGACGGGCAATTAATCGCCTCTGCATTTTCTTACTGGTAGAAGTAGATTTTTAGACATAGTTTTGTACAACTTTAGAATTATTTAGAAACTTACCTCCCTCTTGACGTAGAAGAGATTTCTGTCCCAACTCAATCTGAAATGCTACTAAAATGTCATGAATGTGCGATCAGTCCATCAAAGCCCGATGGAATTACCTTTTACATTTACATCTCGCTTTAGAAATGCTGTTGAATCTAATCCCACTTGACCCAGTGATTAAGTACGACAGTTATTAATGTCCCCATTTGATAGATAAGGAAACTGAGAGATGGAAAAGATGAGACTCTTACCCAGTGAGTGGCAGGGTCAGATAGAACCCAACTCTCCTACCTCAGAGTCCCAATAATATCCTACCCGACACAAAGGCTTCCCAAGTGATACAGGCATTAATAACGCCTTCCACCTCTCCACGTACAGAGACGTCCCTTTTTTCCTGTAGAGAGCATTCCCCTACCATCACGCTGGCCACGGTGGGAATACTTACACTATGGGAATCAGCAGTGGATACGTATCTGCCTTTGGGCCTTTATCATAACCAAGGCAGCTGCATAGATACTCTGGGCAGGTTCTAGGCTAGATTTTGATTTAATATACTTGGGGTAAAACCCACAAATCTGTATTTTAAATATAGTGTATATAATATTTGTTATAGATGTTTATTTTAATATTTAACATTTTTAAGTTTTATATTCAGAACTCAAGAGGGACAAGAGTAGATATAAGATTTTCCTCTCCCACCTTGGCTTCCCACCTACTCAGTTCCCTCCCCTGGAAGTAACCATTATCATCTTTGCATTCTTCCAAAGCTATTTATACAGGCAAAGACATATTTAAGTATTTTCTCATATTATGCACAAATATGGATCATTTTAAACAAGCTCTCTCAGATGATCAGTCAACTCCTCTGGAAAGAATGCAAATTCAAGGAACTCCTGGTGGTAAGCTCAACCAGTGATTCTCAAACTTGAGTGTGCACCCAACTTACCTGCAGGGCGTGTTAAAACAAGGATTGCTGGGCTGCCTACCTGGAGAACAGCTCATCTAAGGCAACATTTATTCAGTTCTACACTCCTAACTCTGGTCATTTGTCTTCCCAGAATACATCATCAGTGGCCATAAAACCAGTAGCATGTGGTCAGTACAGGTAACAGGCACTGTTGTAAGCACTTTACATGTATTAAACCTGTCAGAGCCTGGGACAATTCTAGTAGACAGATACTGTTATCCCATTTTACAGAAGGAAAATTGAGGCAGACAAGTAACTTTCCAACTTCATTCATTTTAGTAGGTAGGTAGTAGAACCAGTCTGACTCGAGAACCCACAGGCCTAATATTAGCCTGTGCTGCCTTCCAGTTCTTAAGATGGAGCTTAACAGGCCCTATCAAATATCAGTGCCACGTGATTAAGTCCACTGTATAGCTCCCGAAATATGTACATTTGTAAGTGAGGGAATTTTCATTTTAAGACAGGCAAATAAAACTATTTTGTTAGTTTCTTAGGTAAAGAATTTGAGAAGTTTTCAGTTCACTTGCAGCTCTTCCGAAAAAATCAGTTTTGTAAAATGAGGCATACCAGTATTTTGTACTCAGTAACAAATTTTTTTACAATACAAGCGGATGTTACATTTGATCACAAAGTTTACGTACAACATTATATACGATACATAAAATACTGCCCTAGTTAATATATATGAAGCTATTTAATTCAAAGCAGTAGGATTCAGTTACTACGTCTGTTGGATCTAAAGTATGCAAGCTTTGCAAAAGTCAACTGTTAATTTTCACAGATTTTATAAATGTGCTGATAATACAATGTCAGATATGGGGTTGGGTGGAAGTATTTATTACAGAAATCAGCAAAGGCCAGAGAATGGTTTTTTTCTTCCCCTTTGGAAAACTGGTCATTAAACATTTACCAGCACACCACTCTTCCAGTAGATCAGGTATCCCAAACCAAATAAATACATTTTGCCTAACAGGCACTTTGAAAAAGAGAGAGACTTTAAACAGTACATTCTAAGACTGGCACATTAAATACAACGTTAACCACAGTATTGACTTCTTAACCTGAATCACTGAATTCTTGCCAGTAACTAGAAATGTGGATTAGACACCCAGAACTTCCCTCTCATGCCTCTGACCACAGAAATAATTATTTAGATACTTCACAGCAAAGTCCCCAAAGCTAAACACAGGATGAGGACCAAGTGCCCCCAGGTCCTTGTTCTGACAGTCCTAGAATGCAAATCCGAAGTCTGGATTTTTAAGAACTTCTCTGGCAACAAAATGACGCATGTGGAGGGTCTGGGGTAGGTTTGCTAAATAAATTAGCACAGCGCTTCTAAATCTCCCATCTTTGACTACTGTCGCAAATGATTTCTAAAATCAAGTAGCATTTGGGGATTTTCTAGCATTAAAGAGGCTTGGAATTCCCCAGTGAGGTTGATGAGGGAAAAAAGGTCAAGAGGGCAAATGTCTGAATAATAAAGTAAAAAGCAAGAAATTAACTTTCTCTTTACTCACCTTAGTGAGAGCTGCAGTCTCAACTTCTGAGTAAATATTACCTACCCTGTTTGTAAAACCCAACTACTGAATGTGGAGAATTTCTATTCAGTGAACAGGAAGAACAGTGCTTCTCCCCTGGGAACTGTTAGTGCTCTGGTAACTCTGGAATAAAAGTGCACGATGCCACGTGACAACAAACACAGTCAGGTGGCAGGTGTTGCAGGTTTGTCAAGGACTTTCACAGCATCCTAGTGAGTAACAGGACCTGTGGGCTTTTGCTAACTTAGTAGGAAACTAACTCTGCTTTACGTTTCCACCCCTTCCTGTCTGTCTACAAAACTACACAGCACTGCGCCGCCCCCAGCACTCAAAACCCACCCAAAAGCTCTCTCCAAAGACCTGTGATGACTCCTAAGAAGAGAGTGCAGAGAAATAAAAGGTCTTCAGTAGGAGCTGTTATCCTCAATCCCAGGACGAGGGGAGAGGGACCCAGGTGGGGGTGTCGCTGGGGACTGCAGCTCAGAGCAGCCTCTGTCCTGAGGCCCCACCAGGGCAGCCTGGGACCTTCACCCTCACTGGTCCAGAGAGTACAAAGTCAACTCTCTCATCTGGAACAGCCCCACATTTCTACTTGCATGAGAAACAGTAAAACCTTTCTATATTCTTAACATTGGTCTCATTGTTCAGAGACCTCGGGATGGTGGTGGCGGTGAGCTGCATCCAATCCCAACAGCCCTGGTACTGTGGCGCATGGCCAGGCCCATGGCAGACAGGGGGTTAGAGGATTCGTAGGAGGACTTTGGAGAGGATGGAGAAAGGAGGATTGGGGCGAGGAAAGGAAGCTTTCCCTGTTAAAACAAACTTGCAGAGAGTCTTCCTTGGGTCTCAGGTTTCTCAAATGTTGCTGTTCCCTTCAGACAATTTTATCTAATTAACATCTATTTTTCACATCTTTATGCAGTAATCAGAGTTCAATTACCGGAACCCAGCTGCTGATGCTAAAAAGTACTAGAAAATTAAATTCATATAAAAAAATCCTCAGGTGCCCTCACCATCTCCTCAACCAAGACAAAGGAGCTTGATTCCTCATTGTGCCTACACACCTTCAGTCCCTTCTTATAAGTCAGTCATTGTGTGACTGCAGTTCCATTCGAGGACATACTAGTGAAAGCCACGCAGAGAGGGTCAAAGAGAAAAACAAAAACAAACCTGAATACTAACACAGACATCCCCATCTAAGGACAGTAAAGGACTTAGAATATGTACATATTCTAACACTTTGATTTCACTTTAAGGAATCTAACTTTGAAGAGCATTTTATCTAAAGTTAAAATCCACGCGTCAGTTTGCTACAGAGAATTTTATCCTCCCGAGAGAACTGTTTTTGCACGTTCTTTAAAGAGTCACTTTAGGTGTGGTCACCGCAATCCTTCCCCAAAGGTCTTCCTAACAAATCTGACTTATGCTTCATCAGATAACTAATCGTCGTGACAATGGTGATTAATTTTTAAAAGGTGAAGTTTCTAATTCTGTCAAATTATCTTTTGTGTGCAGGATGTTAACATTTTTTTAATACTTTGGCCACCTTAAGTCTTTGAATAAGGGGAACGAGTAGGGAAGAGTAGAAAAGAGGGAGGAAGGTGGAATAAGAAAAAGGACACAAGGAAAAACGGAGGAAAGGAAGAGAGAAGAAAGTGACTTTTTATGTGACTGATGTGAAAAACACACTTATCTGGTTTTGTTGCAGAACTTGGGGTGTAGCTTTGCTATTTTAAGTGAAAAAGGAGAGAACCCAGATTTGCTAAGGGCTTCCTGTCTACCAACTCCTTTATGTACTTACCTCATTTAAAAATCTCAACTGGTAGAAAGGTAGCGATATTACCCTTGACATTATGAAACCGAGCCTCCCTGAGTTTACACGATTAACCTACTTCTCACCAGTTGCAAGATGTTAGTCACTGGAGCCAGAAACGATCATCCCAAACTTCCTATTCCCTTTCCAGGTTACCTGTTCTCATGATGTGTCTGTGCTTCCATTACGTCTGATTCCTTGGTAATTGGTTGGCAATTCCAAGTCTCTGAGCATGAACTCAGCTTCCCATTATCCCATCGCTGGTAGGAAACAGCACAGTCCACCGTGTAGCATTTCATACACTGGAGTTCGGAGCAAGGACTGAGAGGCAAAGGCAGTATTCGTAAGCATCACTCTTTCCACAGCAAAAACAGAACACAAACGTCAATGTTGTTTACTTAGGGTAACTCCTCACTGTTACAGTCCCCTGGTCGTAAAGATAGCACAGCCCTCAAAAGGCAGGAGCATTTGCTCACTTCTAACCACACACGCTGCTGACTGGATCTTAGACAATTTTTCCTAAAACGAGATTGACCAACGAAGGTCAAAGAAATGCATTTTTCTTCATGTTTAGGGGGAAAGCACGTGGTTGTGAGCGCAGCATCCAGGAGCATAGTTAGAGCCTCTGATCCCAGCGCAGGACTGGGAAACGCACACGCTCCCAGGACAGGAGCCAGAGACGCCGCTCTGACTGGGACAGTGTGTGTGTTCCACCTGTCGCCTAGCATCGTTATGAATGGTGCCCCCCGACCCCCACCCCAAGAGTGTCCCAGTTTGGATGGTATACTTTCTGGTCGCTTCACCTGTAGAAAACGTAGATCACCACAGCGGACACAAGGTACCTCCTTCCCACCCTGGGCTGCGTCATGCTGAGAACCTGCAATATTAATTAATACAACACGATGAGGCCTCAGTAAAGATAAAAGCAGTTATAAAATACATGCCACTTGTGTACTTTGTAAAATATGTTGAGATACCACAGTTGTTTCCCTGCTAGGGCAGGTCTGTATTTCAGCAGAGATGGGCAGAGGATGTTCAGCTGAGCTGTCGAGTCAATGGCAGAGCTGGGTCCCACCCCCAGCCCTGCCACTTGCTGCATGAATGGCCGTGACCTGGTAGCTCAGTCCTCCACAAGCCTCAGCTGCACATTCTGCTCAGGAGAGGGAATAACACCGCCCCCCCGCCCCCACCCGGTTTTTACCAGAGTGACTAGGACTTGAGAGACACAGAGTATTCAGTTTAAATACTCCGTGCACTACTACTCTGCCGCATGACCTTGTAAATTTAGAGACTCGGTGTCCTTACACAGAGAGGATGGTAGCAGGAACAGGTCCTGTCTTGGGGAGGTTGTTCTGAGAACTGAATAATATAATGCATATAAAGCAAGCATGTAATAAGTGTTTCACTGTCATTATTTTGAGATATGGGAAGATACTTAAGACCTATAAATAATTTGTAGCAAAAATTTGTTAAGGTTGTCTTTTCCCGGGCTGCACATGACTGGGTACTAACTCGTGTAGCTTCAATCGTGGTGGTCTTACCTGAAAACCACATTGATTTCACCTGGGTTTAAATATTCAAAGAAAGGTTTGCATAAACATAACTTAGGAATTATACCCCTGAATTGGCTGACTTAAAACCTCCAAGGACATGGTTTTCCAGGAAACAAATCTGGAATTGCTAGAATTCTGTCTTCATGCTGTTTTACACTCTCTGGGCTCTTTCATACTTTATCTGATTTTCACCTTCGTTTTTAGTCATAAAAATCTCAGTGTGCTAAGCCATTACTGGTTTTCTTTCTAGACAGTTCACCCAAATGAGGATAATTAGCATGTATATTACATGAAGGTAAACATAATATAAGATGTGAATCCTTATGATTCCAGAAATGTTTACCAAATCCAAGTAAACTGGCAACTATATGTAAGCCCCCTTCATTGTGTATGTGTAATATGTACATAATATATAAATCATAATCTTCAAGGACACACACAGATACCTACTTGATCTCACACATGTATCCATGTATATATAAAAAATCAAAGTTCTCAGCCCTGTGTATGTCTTTTCAACTGAAATAAACCCAGAAATTAAGATACAATTTTTCTGTTCCCTCATTAGAAATAGCTCAATTGAAAGACAGAATATTCATGAATACTCTATCACTAGTAAGTGATGTCTAGCAGTAAGAGGAAAAGAAACACCCCACGCTGCGGGGAGAGAAGAGAGCGTTGGAGGAAGGAGATGGGCCTGGCAGAGGGCTGCGCGTGTAGGCAGAGGGCTGCGCGTGTAGGCAGAGGGCTTGTGTGCAGTCTCCTTCCAGCATCTGTCAGGTATCTGCCTCTATAAAGCGATCCTTTCTGTTTCATTGCACCTACAGAATTCTGACAAATGAAGTATCAGAAGTGAAAAGCTCATTGCTGTACATAGGGAAGTACGTTAAAGATGTAGTTAATGTATTACTAAGTGTGGGGTGCATCCCAATGCAATACTGATTTTAGGAGGCACAAAATGTTTCATAACTGAATATATGAGGATACAGTTACCCCCTTTTAAGCTGACTGTCAATCCTCTAATTACAAAAAGGAGGAAGACTCAGTTTTAACACCTCTCTAACCCTGACCGTTGTCCCAGATGGAGATCAGGTCTCTAGCTCAGAGCCCTGAAGATAAGAAACTTCAGCAAAAAAGTAACACGATTGTTTCCACTGTATATGTTTTTTAAATTACTTTCTATTGTGGTTTTTCATGTAAAATGGGCCAGTAAATTTTTACTTCTAAGGTATTTAGGTTTTAAAAATGACTTTAAAATAGCAAGTGAAAAATGGCAGCACAGATTCAGCAGAAGTCATGCCTTGGTAACAAAGGCCTGGCATCTGGAAAGGTCAATCAGGGTCACCACACGCTTTGTGCGACACTGTGTGGAGCACGAGTGCGCTGTCCTCACCTTTCTTCCTTCAGGACACAAAGAGGCACATTCAACTGCACAGATCCCAGAGGCTGAGGTTTACGTGTGGGTCCCTTTCTGGTATCTGTGACTTGAGCCCTTTCCTTCCCAATGACTTGCTCCACATTTGTGATTTGCAGGCACTGTGGTTGAAAACTGCTAGTCCAACAAGCCAGCGCAAAGCAGCAAGGATTCTAGTAGAGAAGCTATGACGTGTACACACAGAGGGCATGGTTAGTTACAGAGACTCTAATACTGACAGGGAAAACCGAAACAGTAGCCAAAAAGGGGACCTACCTTCCGCCCTAACTTTATGATGTGGCCGATTAAGTAAAAGGTACAGCAGTCATGTCTGTATGTCAGCTGTGATCGGATTTCTGAGAGCGTTTTTATGCTGTTTGTTTTCAAAAATAATATAATGAATGTTGAAAGCATTTTTTAAACAAACAACAAAAAAATGTTAGATGGCTGCTACAAGTAGCCGGTATTTACTCTAACACTTAACAGTTTGCTGTATTCTTTATAATTTTCCCTTAATTATACTCACAATAAAGACACAAATTTATATCTTACTTTTCCTCACTTAACATCTTTTCATGTAAAAACTTTCCAAGTTATTAAGTATCTCCTCTAACTGTAATTTTTATTCCTACGTAACTGTCAATTTAAGGAGAGGAATCACAGATAGTGTAATTATTTCTCCTTGACTGGACACTGTTTAATGTAATATTTCAACATATTAAATAATGTAATAAAATGCATCTTTGATGTTTAAAGTTATAATTTGATCCTGATTTGGGAAAATTACATTAATATCATTAATTTGTTTACTAAACAGTCTCCCTACTAGACAATTAACTGAGAACAGGAATTACATTTACTCAACTCTCTGTCCCTAGCTCTGCCTTGAACATAGAAGGTACTTAGTATGTGTTTATTGAGTTGAATTGAATATACTTTCTTTTTGATAGTTTCCCATTCTTTTCTGGAGAAAATTAAAGCAGTTTCTTGGCAGCCATCAGATGCTAAAAAATAAGGGAAAAGTCCCCAAATATCTACTAAAATTAGAGGCAAAGATCCACTGAGACTGTCTTGGGATATAAAAATTACATGTTCTTGCTTCACTTCTTTGCTGCATAACTTTTTTTTAAAGCTTCATTTCCCCATCTACAAAGTAGCTAGAAAAACAATAAAATTCCTATCACCCAGGAATCTAATAATGACTTAATGTAAGTTAAGAAGAGGCACATAAACGGGAATTTGAGATGCAGTTCTCTATCTGGCAAAGATGGTTGTATTGGGAAGCACCAAAGGTGACCTTAGTGTGCCAAGATATGATTGTGTTTGTTTCTCTAGTATGTTTAAAAAGAAAAAGCTGAATGTAAAATAGCTTCAGTGATATTTTAGGTAGATGATTTAGGTAGATGATGAAGTAATTTTCCAGATGCGTATATCTTTTCTTATAAACATAGCAATAGAAGCTCAAATATATCCATGCAGAGTAGATTGATGCTTAATGTCCATTTATATTTATTTAGGCAGAGAATGGCCACCTACTTACCAAACCTACCTTCCCTTCCTCATAGGCACGTAGCTGAACCTCATTTCCCAGCCTCTCATGGGCCCACGTGGCTGAGTTCTGGCTAATGAAATATGAGCACAACTTGTGAGCGTTACTGTCGTGTCTCGTTCATGAAAACCTCTCACCCACGATCCTCTGGCTCCACATGGAATGGAAAGGAGTTCAAAGATCTAGAAGGTGTGGAGCCCCCAGATTTACAGGCACAGGTCCCCCAGTGTTTTCTTGAAGAAAAACCAATAAGCTACTGGTTTAAGCCCCTGAGATTAGGGTTTATCTGTTACAAAAGCTGGCAGAGACTTATATTTGTTCATTTCCAGAGTGTTCCAGATGGGATTTAAGACAGCTATCTTGTCTGAACAGCTTTCAACAAGAAAGAAGCCAAAATGTCTAGATGCCTTCAGCACCAACTAATTAAAACCAGGTAATCTCCGGAGGAATTCCCCTTCACACTCAGGACCCTCCACAAAGGGTCCAGGTTTTCATAGGACGATGGATAAGATGCAAGAATCTGAAGGGGAAACTACTTACCACACTTCTCCATTTGACCTTATTTTCCCACGTAAACCGTCATAATCCTGTGAAAGGGAAGTGGCCCTCGGTGCTCATACACTTCAGAGGCTGACCTGGTGGACCTTGAGAACTGAGTAATTACCACAGAAAGGCAGCCAGCCTTTTTTTTTGCTCCAAAGTAAGGCACATATCTTATAGCTTTTCCTAACTCTATCATCAGAGGGGTTTAAGTAACTTATTAATAGGCCTTTTTGCCCAAAGTTGTGGTTACCTCAGTTTTCTCATGTGTAATATGAGATCCTTAAAAGACGTGAGTATCCACCCTAATGGGCGAACCCAGTGCCTCCAGACCGCCTCTCCCTGAAGGTGACTGTTGAGTCAGGACAGGTTTTACGTGCTCCCTGCAAATGGGATGTTCGACGTCTAGGAGAGAGAATCTGTACTATTTGTCTTTCTCTAAGTTACCACATATGGAGTTGTGACTACATATACATTCTCACAATAACGCAGGAGGTTAGTTACTATTATGCCCATTTTAGAGGTAAGAAAACTGAGAATAGAGGGCTAAGATCAAAACACATTTCTACTGTTGCCCATCTATGCTCTCAGCCATTACCTTCCACTGCCTTACAGATTTGGAGTGCTGCATGGTATGTTTGTGAGGCCATCAGGCGTCTTAACCCAGCTACCTCTCATTTAATAGTATTAATTTCAAAGAGACATATCTCAAAGCTAGACCAAAATCACCTTCATCTCTGAAAGGTTTAGTAGATCAGGCCCATTCTCTGTGTCCAAGTATTTCTGAGGAGACGACTCAGAACTATTGAGAATTATAGGAGGAGAGCAGATCGTTTGCATTTCAAAGAGATGAAAATAAACACAAGAACAGAGGGCTCTCGGGTTTCAGGAAAGATTAAACAGAAACTATTAATTAATGACTTAGGACAAGCTTTGCTAATTGTTTACTAGTAACTTGAATACAAAATGAACTCATGTTTTGAAGTAGATCCAGTCCAGTGGAAAGCCGTTTCAGAACCATGAAAAAGATACCAAAGCATAGCCGAGAGGGAAGAGGAGGGAATTTGATGTTTTCCTCTGTTTTTAAAAGGAAGCATTGCTATTAAAAAAATCTTTTTAAAAAATAAGAGTTGCTAATGCAAGATGTTAACAATAAGATTAACTGTGGGGGATAAAGGGGAACTCTCTGTACTTTCTTACACCACAACAAAAAACAAGAGTTGCTATCGGAGAAGAATTGTTGTTTAGGGACAATATATGAGAAGGGATGGAAGTATAGAGTGAAAGGTAAGAGCTCTGCCTTTGAAGTAAAAGCTCCAGCCCGGAAACACCGGGTCCCTTACAGACCAGGGCTGCACAGCCTCAGGTAAGTGACTCACCCAGCAAGAAGGGAGCTTCCCGCTTCTCCTCGGGTCAAGAGGTAAGTGCTCTGTGGAACCCTTCAGAGTCTTCCACTGTAACTAACAGCACATCATGACTCCTGGGAAATCTGGACAAGGACTGTTAGGCTAGATAACTGCTCTGGCCCAGTAAAGGAATGTGCTGCTCTATTAGGATTTTTCTGCATTTGTGTGTGTGTTGGGGGGGGTGGTTTCTGGGCAAATGAGTTTCCCCCAAATGAGGGCACCATGCGCGAGACAGGCGATGTGGAAGTTGTGTTAGGTCCTTTACAATAATGCCATCTGGGAGGGGCATGGGGTGGCTTCGGCAGGTAGTAGCTGGAGGCGAATATTCCCAGGGACTGTGGAATAACTACTTAACAAACCGCAATGGAGATTCCTCATCCCCATCAAGGGAATTACCAGTGATATCCCTTTATTGTGGCTCCCAAAGAGCCCTGTGAATTGCCACATAAAAAGAATCAGCTTTAAAATCTACCAGTCCCAAATCCCATATATCTGGATATATATATCTGGATATATATCCAAAGGAAACTCTTTAAAAGAATGATATAATGCCATTTGCAGCAATATGGATGGACCTAGAGATTATCACGCTAAGTCACACAGAGAAAGACAAATACCATATGGTATCACTTATATGTGGAATCTAAATTATAAAACAGAAAGAGACTCACAGATGTAGAAAACTTACGGTTACCAAAGGGGAAGTGGGGAAGGGATAGATGAGTAGGAGTTTGGGATTAGCAGATGCAAACTACTGTGCATAAATTAGATAAACAAGGTCTTACTGTATATAGCACAGGGAACTACATTCATTATCTTGTAATAACCTATAAGAAAAAGAATATGTATAACTGAATTAATATGGTGTACACCAGAAATACGTAACATTGTAAATCAACTATACTTCAATTAAATAAATAAATAATATAATAAAATCTACCAGTCCCAGAGAACATTATCTATGACAGTTCAAGTTAAGTAAGAACTTTCCTTACCTCTCTCTCGAATAAATTAGATAAAGGGAGAACAGAGGGAAAAGTTCAGGTACTATCTGACTACATCCCTCAAGTCCTACTTGTTTAGTTTGCTAGTTGTAGGATCATTTTATATAAATCTCATTGCATTAAATCATATGAACAGCAAATTTTCAGACAGAATCTCACATTATCTACACAGACTTCCAGTCACATGGTAAGTGCAAGCATCTAGCAGTCTCTATCCAAGTAAACAGAGATCAAGATGCTATCGTTAGCTATTTACAGAATGGGTCACCTGCATATGGTTAGTTGTGAGCTAGCTACCGTATCGGATAGCTCTTTACTTGCCTGCGTGGGCCACTGAGGAATTTTATCATTACCTGTGATTTCTGTTTAAAAGATACACATCAGATGCCTTCCAAACTGGGCTTTCCTGCTGGTTGTTTCCATTTCCTCCTTATGAAAAAATGAATAGAGAGAAAAAGGTAAAAATACAAAAGTTTGGAGGGTAATTGGCGATCATGTAGGAGGATACCATTGTCTCCTGCCGGACTGGGGACTTCGGGGTTCCATCGCTAGTTCACTCGGGTCCTTCAAAGAACTTAGGGTAACCCTGCTGACTTCAGGACTCACTCACACTAAGATTGGTTTCTCTTGGTTTTCAAATGTTTCATACCACTTTCACAGCTCTTCACTATCTGATTTGGGCACAGAGCAGTATTTGTGAATTAACAGTTTTAGATTCCTTGAGGTGATAACCTCAGACGTATTCTGGACACTTGTATTAAATCCTTTACTTTTCTTCCCTACCTCACCTCCCTCATCATCCACCTCTGTCCATCTGGGAAATAGGTTTACTGGAAATAAATAAATAAACCTATCATTAGCTAGTGTGAAGGTTTAAAGATATTTCTGTGCTACCCATTTATTGTTTTGTGCCCTTGTTCAGTTGCCAGAGAACTAAATTCATTACAGAATTCCCAGGCTAAGCAATTTATCATTACCTTGCCATCCATCAGAGCAGCTGTTTCCCTTCTATGCTTTCTTTTAAACAACATACAAACACCATCATCTCTTTCTTTTCTTGGGTTTTAAATGATGGCTGCTTGAAACTTCCCTTTTCTCTTTATCACTGTCATCCTTTTGAGGACTTTCTTCTCCAGTATCTTCCGCATCTGTCCTCAGAGGAAATCCATGTCTTCTTTGGAATGCTTTCTGTCCTGACAGATCCTGTTTCAACAAACCAAGCCATTATCCCATTAAATATATATATATATATATAGAAGAATGGCAGCTGTTTATGATCCTATCACCTTATACACAGCACCTTTAATCCCCACATTTCCTCTGCTTCATTATCACAAATTAACCGTGAAGGTAATGAGAATCAGAGAGAGATGGCATCAGCTTACCCAGGTCCCGAAGCTAACAGATGTCAAACTCAGAATTTGTGCCAGGTATTCGCGTCCAAGTGCTGTTTATCTTTCCATGGCTTCCTTCAGCCTCTGATGATTTGGTGTTTCATACATTAAGAGGATGAGGTGAACACACACCCAGCACACAAAAAAGCCTAAGTATAAAAATACACACCTGCCCACACCAGGTTTAAAAAGGTGTTAATCATTGTGCTTGAGAGTCCCTTTGATGGGAATTAAGGGCAGGGCCCCAGTCGGCTTCCTGCAGATTTTACTTTCCTGCTTTATTCTTAATGAAACGAAGTTCATCTTGCCAAACTTTTGTCACAGTCAGACATTCTGAGAAAGCTCTGACTGTCAGACTTCTGCTCACAGTGGAAGCTAAATGGAGTCAGACTAAAAACTATTTGTGCTAAGAATAAAGCAGAACCTCCCTGCAGTTTCCAAACTACAACAGACAACTATGATGAGATATGGCCCCAGATTACCTGCTTCTACTTACCTGGAAGGCAGCAGTAGAACGGCAGGGGTGCTCTAGGTCAGGGGGGCGTTGGCTGCCTGCTTGGTGAGTACTTACCGTCCTCCTTTGTGATGGTCCCTCGCTTCACCAGTGTCTAAGGGAAAGCGTCACCCACCCTCTCCGCCTCAGTTGAGCTCCTTTCTGGGTCAGTTGGAGCCATGACTGAAGTAGACACCATCATTTCCATGGCAGATGTAGAGCTTGACTAAGGGGTAAACTAGTACCGAGATAAATCAGAAACAGGATGCGAGTTATCTCCTCCTCTAACTGGTGATACGTAAGTTGGGTAAACTCTAAAAGAGAACACTCAGCAGTGGAATTTATATTTTTAAAAAACTGATTTATCATAAACTAAAAAGTCCAGTGTATGTAATAAAACCTTTCTCTTAAACAGAAAATCATACAACTGTTAACAGAAAATCCATTTTCCCTGTCCTACCAAAGAAATATTTTTAAAAGTATTTGAAAAATATTATTTTCAAGGAGTAGAAAATCATCAGTCTGCCCAGGGAGCCCACATGTCCTGGTTAGTGATGGACACATGTGAGGGAACCAGGACTTCCTCATCCTGTTACTGCTCGTAAGCTCGCTGCCATCTCAGTGAGTGACACCAGGTCCCATCCAGTTGACAAAAAGCGAGAAGTCACCTCTGCCTCTTCTCCTCCATCCTTCACAGCCAGTCCATAAGGAAGGAATTTCCACTCTGCCTCCAAACACCTCTCAAATCTGCCTGGTATCCAAGCCGCCACCTCTGACCCAGCTCGAGACCACTTCTATCATGGCCTGAGTTAATGCAACACCTCCTCAGTTTCCCACTTCCAGTTTTCCCCGCCTGCAAATCTATTTTTCATACCGCAGTCAGATTGATCTTCCTGAAATGTAAATCTGTTCATATCACTCTTTAGCATAAAACACTTTAATGGCTTGCCGCTGCCCTCAGGATAAAGTGCAAACAGCTTATCACAGTTCACAAGCCCCTTGTAAATCACTCCCCTAATTACCTCTCAGCCTCTTGTCTCTCCATTTCTCTTCTGTTTTTGCTCCAACCATTCTGAACTACATACTTTAATTCCCCAATGGTTGCCAGGCCTACACACACACAGTTCTTTTTGTCTAGACTTCACTCTGCCTCCCTCCCCCAAAGATGGGGGGGTTGTAAGTGCAAATAGACTGTTACTCTGTCTAGGCTACTCTGTATTTTGCCTGAAGCAATGTGAGGAAAAGGATAAGTAAACTGTGATAAAGATGTATGCTGTAATCCATACAGCAACAAATAAGAGTAAATAAAGTCAGAAGAACTCAAGTGCAATACTAAAAACCAGTTGTTTAAAACAGAAGGAAGGAGAATGAGAGGGAAAAAAATTCAACAGACAAGTAGACAACAAACAGCAAAGTGGTGTTCTCATACACAGTCGGAGCAGTAACTCTATGCTATTTAAATGGACTAAGCAATCTAACAAGAGGCAGAAACTGCAGAGATTTGCAGAATGATTTAAAAGTGAGGACTAACCACATGCTGTCTACAGGAGATGCTCTGTAACTACGAAGACACAAACATGCTGAAAGTAAAGGAATAGAAAAATATATACCATGAAAACAAGCTTGAAAAGCTAGAGGGACCATATTAATCATTCAAAATGACTTAACGACACATTACCAGAAACACAGATGGGACTCTGATGATAAAAAGTCAACAAATCAGAAATTGAACATGTGCTTAATATCTGAGTTTCAAAATATGTGAAACAAAAACCTACAGAACTTAAGGGAGATACAGGCAACTTTACATTCATAGCTGGAGACTTTAACACACATCTCCTCTGCTGGCAGAACACTGAGAAAAGGTAAGACTTACCTAATCCTTCTTAAGACTGGGAACAAAGTAGGAGAGACAGCTCCTCAGCACTCCTATTCAACACTGTAGACGAGGTACTTAGCCAATGCAGAAAGGCGCAGAAATCAAGACATAAAAGTTAGAAAGGAAGAAACATTTGCTGAAGGAAATTGAAGAAGACCCGAGTAAATGAAGAGTCCCACATTCATGGACTGGAAAACTGAGTATCGTTACAATAGATCAGTTCTCCACGAAAACCTGTAGATTCAACACAATTCTTATCAATATCCCAGAAGACTGGGAGAGATCAGCAAGTTAATACTAAGATTTTTATGAAAATTCAAATAACCTTTAGAAATGTCAATGCAAGTTTGATCCTTCATTGTAGAGTATATCCTTGACTTTAGATGTCAAAACAATTCCAAAAATCAAAATAATTTCATTTTTCTAACTATAAAAGTAACATTGTAGAAAAAATAGAGTGCATGTAAAGTTATAAGAAAATGGAAATCACCTCTAATCCCACAATCTCAGTTATTATTGTCACATTATATCCTCCCAGTTCTGTCCTTGCCTACGTATGTATCTGTATTCATCTATATGTATGTTTATACACACACACACACATCTATTTCATCTTTCCATGTTAAGAAGTATAGATCTAAGTCTTACGTGTTATTGGCTACCGGATAGAAATCAGTTTCTACTATTACATATTTTCAGTTTTCCTAAATTATAGACAAGCCTGTACCCAACATATATGTATATTATTTAAATGGTTTCCCTATAATACATTTCTAGGACAAAATAAAAGGTTCATAAGATCTACCCTGTTTGAGGTGGGACATGTTTATGGCGTTGACTGTGGTGGTGGTTTCAGAGATGTATTACCTCAACCTCCTGAAGGTTATACCACAGTTTATTTTTCTTTTATCAGTCCCGTCTACACTTATTAATTCTGGGTAAAATTGATTACTGAACTTCGAACAACAGGGGTAGATCACTTTTACCTATCAGATTGACAATTTGTTTTTCTTTGTTTACTAGTCAAGTTGGTCAGTTTTTCATACATTAGCCGTTTTTAGTCTTTATTACACATTCATTGCCTAATTTTCTATTGACACTCACTCTTTTCCTTATTTATTAATAAGAACTCTTTACTTAGTACTGTGTTTGATCCCTTCTCTATTGTAAGTCTAAAACATATTCTCCATTTTAGCAATTGCTTCTGTATGTGTTGTTCATTTGCTTGTTAACTACTTTAACATACAATTCAAGAGTATTCTGTCCTTTTATGGTTGCTAGCTTTATTCATAGAAAACGCTTTTCAATTCTATTATAAAATTAATGAATTTTATTTTGATACATTATTCTTGCATTTTAATCCTTCATCTGGAATTTACTGGAACAAGTTAAGCTGAGATGCAACTTTTTCCACTAAATATCTGGCCATTTATATTTTTTCTCACTGAATTAAAATATCACCCAGCACATCTACTGACTTCTCAGATATATTTAGATATAATTCCTTACTCTTTCTGTTTCACTGGCTGTATATTTTTAAGTCAGTATCAAGCCATTTTATTACTACAGTTTTGCAACTTTTATTTAAACATTTTCTAGGGTAAGCCTGTTTTCATTTTTAATGGTTCTGATTATTCTCATATTTATATTCTTTCAAATGAACTTTAGAATTAATTTTTCAAATCCAAAAAAATTCTTTGAAATGTATTACTGAGAAAGAATTCATATCTTTATAGTAATGAATCTCTATTAAAATGTATATTATTCCTCTTTTAAGTAAGTTTTATTTCCTCAGTAGGGCTGAATGGTTGTAATATTCTGTGTATTTCTTGTTTAGTTTATTCTAAGGAATTTTATATTTTTTTCAGAGATGCTATGCCTGGAATCATTTGATACAGTAATATTTTCCAAGTGATTTATAGACATGAAAATTACTCTCATTTTGTGATACGTTGATTTACTTGTTCTCTTTGTTCTAATGATTTTTCAGTTTTATTTCCGTTGATTTTCAAGACAGACTTTAGTTTGACCTACAATGACAGTTTTGCCACAGCTTTTCCAATAATTACAATGCTCATGCTCCCCTGTAACCGATTTAGCTAGCACTTTGTGAATCTTTGCTTTGTTTCTACATTTCGAGGCCATTTTTTTTGTTAGTGACTCACCATTAAATTTATTCCTAATTGTTATTTTTTAATGAATGATTTGTTTAGCTGTAGATACAGGTATGCAGACATAGACATACATGTAAACTGTGACTGGAGAATTACACACTTACAATTCAGAAGCAAATGCCGGAGTTTTATCAGATAACTTTTTAGCTAAAAATATTGTTTTAAACAACTTACCTCTGAGTAAAATATGATGTTCTTGGATGAGGTTTACCCCTCGGGATCTTAGGTTGAGAAGCACAGCCCCGTAACACACCTCTTGATATTGAGCTGAGCAGTAAATCCAGTGTCTGCTTAACTATATACGTTTAAAACATACTCATTTCCAATCTCACTTGATACCTGTTCAATTTCAGCCTAACAGGTAATATAGGTTTGAATTCGAATATAGTTCATTTCTAATTTAAAAACATTTTTTTTCTTAAAATGATGACTCTTCCCACTCTTCTGTATTTAAAGCCAAATCATAAAGCATTTTTCTCATCACAGCCACTAGGATGCCTTGACTCTGCCTCGTCCCTACAATAAACAGAGCACAGGGGGATTCTGAGGATCTTTCTGTTTACCTCAAAAAAGAAAAAACCTTCATAAATCAAAATTTACTGACTTCTGAATGGGGCAAACCTTGAAACTAAAAGGGGCTTTTTAACAGAAAATTTCTATATGAAGATAAAAAGTCTCAACCTCTTGCACTGAATGTAACTTTGTTTCATACTTGGAACCTAACAGAACAATGCTGAACAACACTCATGTTGAACAGAGGATGACATCAAACATGAGAGACGCATACGTACCCCGATTCACACTGGAGAGGTATCTTCCTAGCCGTGGACCCCATTTCTGTCCTCTGAGTTCAAAATTGAGCCTTTTGTGAAATGCACTGTTTTGCTTCACAGCCTGTGCCAGACACTGTAACAGTCTCTTTATGGCTGTCAAATGTTGAAATTGTCATAACTCTGAGCAGCTACAATTAGTATCCCCCTTACTTCCATTTTACAGCCAAGAATACTGAAGTGCAGAGAGGTGAAAATAACTTACCCAAGATCACGCAGCTAATGATGGCAGCTCTCAGCTTTAGTGCTCAGCTCTGTGTCGTTCCAGCTCCAGGGTCTTTTTCATCGTATTCACTGTCTTACTTACGTCTGTCTCCTTAGCTATCTATATCCTAACCCAATGTCTCTCCTCCGTTCTTTGGCCCTGTCCTGCAGGCCCGTGACAAAGGTGTAGACTAAGAGGTGGAGTCATGCTTCACAGGGCCGTACCATGTTGGCAGCCGTTCCTGGGTCTGGCTGTGGTGTTACTCTTCATGGGATCTACCATTGGCTGCCCTGCTCGCTGCGAGTGCTCCGCCCAGAACAAATCTGTCAGCTGCCACCGAAGGAGGCTGATCGCCATCCCAGAGGGCATTCCCATCGAGACCAAAATCTTGGACCTCAGCAAGAACAGGCTGAAAAGTGTCAACCCTGAAGAATTCATCTCATATCCTCTGCTGGAGGAGATCGACCTGAGTGACAACATCATCGCCAACGTGGAGCCAGGAGCATTTAACAACCTCTTCAACCTGCGTTCCCTCCGCCTCAAAGGCAATCGCCTCAAGTTGGTCCCTTTGGGGGTCTTCACGGGCCTTTCCAACCTCACCAAGCTGGACATCAGTGAGAACAAGATTGTCATCTTACTGGACTACATGTTCCAGGATCTGCATAACCTGAAGTCTCTGGAAGTGGGGGACAACGACTTGGTTTACATATCACACAGGGCCTTCAGCGGGCTGCTTAGCTTGGAGCAGCTCACCCTGGAGAAATGCAACCTGACGGCAGTACCGACAGAAGCCCTCTCCCATCTCCGCAGCCTCATCAGCCTGCATCTGAAGCATCTCAACATCAACAATATGCCCGTGTATGCCTTTAAAAGACTGTTTCACCTGAAACACCTCGAGATTGACTACTGGCCTTTACTGGATATGATGCCTGCCAACAGCCTCTACGGTCTCAACCTCACGTCCCTCTCCATCACCAACACCAACCTGTCCACTGTCCCCTTCCTTGCCTTTAAACACCTGGTCTATCTGACCCACCTTAACCTCTCCTACAACCCCATCAGCACCATTGAAGCCGGCATGTTCTCTGACCTGGTCCGCCTTCAGGAGCTCCACATAGTGGGGGCCCAGCTCCGCACCATCGAGCCGCACTCTTTCCAAGGGCTCCGCTTCCTTCGTGTGCTCAACGTGTCTCAGAACCTACTGGAAACTTTGGAGGAGACGGTCTTCTCCTCCCCTAGGGCTTTGGAGGTCCTGAGCATCAACAACAACCCCCTGGCCTGTGACTGCCGCCTCCTCTGGATTCTGCAGCGGCACCCCACCCTGCAGTTCGGGGGCCAGCAGCCCATGTGTGCCGGCCCAGACACCATCCGTGAGAGGTCATTCAAGGATTTCCATAGCACTGCCCTTTCTTTTTACTTTACCTGCAAAAAACCCAAAATCCGTGAAAAGAAGTTACAGCATCTGCTAGTGGACGAAGGGCAGACGGTCCAGCTAGAATGCAGTGCTGATGGAGACCCCCAGCCTGTGATTTCCTGGGTGACACCTCGAAGGCGTTTCATCACCACCAAGTCCAATGGAAGAGCCACCGTGCTGGGCGATGGCACCTTGGAAATCCGCTTTGCTCAGGATCAGGACAGTGGGATGTATGTTTGCATCGCTAGCAACGCTGCTGGGAACGACACCTTCACAGCCTCCCTAACTGTGAAAGGATTCACTTCAGACCGCTTCCTCTATGCGAACAGGACCCCTATGTACATGACCGACTCCAATGACACCATTTCCAATGGCACTAATGCCAATACTTTTTCTCTGGACCTGAAAACAATACTGGTGTCTACAGCCATGGGCTGTTTCACATTCCTGGGAGTAGTTTTATTTTGTTTTCTCCTCCTTTTTGTGTGGAGCCGAGGGAAAGGCAAACACAAAAACAGCATTGACCTTGAGTATGTGCCCCGAAAAAACAATGGTGCTGTTGTGGAAGGGGAGGTGGCTGGACCTAGGAGGTTCAACATGAAAATGATCTGAGGGTCGACCACTCCCGCCACTGTGTCTGTGTCACTGTGGATAACTGGTCAGACGACCTGGCACAGTAAAGCCCTAGGTTAAAAGGCAGCTGCGTGCAGCTGCGCCTGTGTCAAAGCAGGGTCCACAGAAGCCGGAAGACCTCTGATGGAGACTGCCCACCTAGAGGCAGGCAGGCACGTGGGAGAGCCCTTCACACAGTGGGCTACTAATTGTTTGCATTGCAAATACTGGCATTCTGGGGATCTCAGTAATGGACCTGAACCTTTGGCTCATGCTCACGGACAGTTATTCAACATTTTCTACCACTGCAAAAACAAAAGAGTAAATAAAAAGGAACAACCTACAATGTAGGATTTACATATTAAAAAGACATCTTTGTCTAAAACATACTCTACAGAAAAATTTGTATCCCTGCGTCTCATTTGTTAAAGCCTTGCATCACACCCTAGCTGTTGGTTCAACACCACAAAGAAATCAACATATTCTTTACTTTTTTTTTTTTGAAACATATATGCTGTATATGTTTTAAAGCAATATGAATGAGTGGTTGTGCTTTGGTTACTCACCACTACAGATCCACGTGTGATTTCACCTTCTTCCACACAGAGATATCCCTGAGACTAGATCCCTGGAGTATTTGGCGGAGACATGCTGAACGATGGTTTGTCTGATGCAGGATGCCGAGAAATAGGACCCCAGGCAAAAATGCTCAACTCTGTTCATTTCTGTTACTATAAATAAAGGCATGTGCCTAGTTTTGATACAGAATGGAATATTTTTTATACCTGTGGTATCACACTGGACCAGTTTACTGTAACAAAGCCCTTGGCTTCTCCAGAAGGGGGTATGCCACTAGTTGTACCTGTAAAATGCAAGGTAGGTGTTAATAATGAAAATGATCCACTTATCTACAACTTGATTTTACTTTCATCTAATGAGTTAATAGAAAATGGAAGAGGATATATGATTGTTATATATATTCATAGGGTAATATTCAGCTCATAGCTAAGGTCAAGAATTCAGATGTTCAAAAGCTCTCTGGATAAGGAGGAGTTCTCAGATGCCAACCCAGACTGGGGTGACCCATGCATGACATGCTGTCAGTGCAACTGAGGATCTGTTTAAAATGTGATCACTGGAGGTTGGATTGCCGCCAGTCTAAGGAAACATCTAGCTACTGCAACTCTGATGTTATCTATTCAAATACTGTACACGTAGTATTACCGTAAATGGGCAACTTCAGGGTTTCTCCCTGCTTCCTTACCAAGATCCTTACGTTGATCTTGTGTAGACCAGAAGAACCTGTCTTGTTTTTAAAGAAGTGGCAAAAAAACAAGTTGGATTAAAAAGCACTTACTGATTTTTTTTTCTCTACCGAGGAAAAACCAAGATTTACCCCTAAAATATGTTACACTGTGCTGACACTTTTACCCCTCTGAAGGAAGGCTATTTGTCCTATCAGTTTGTATTAATGATTGTTACTCAAAACATAACAGTTTTTAGAAAATGGCATTGTGCCATTAACTCCAGTGATCTGGTTCAAATGAGACATAATTTCATTTGGCTAAAGGTTGAGCGAATGGTTTTCAAAGCATATGCAGTTGACCCTTGAACATGGGGGTCAGAGATGATGACCCTCTGCATTTTGAAAATTTCGTATAACTTATAATTGGCCCTTTGTATTCACGATTCCACATCTGTGGATTCAACCAGCCTCAGATCGTCTAGTACTTGTAGTATTTACTATGGAAAAAAATTTGTGTGTAAGTGGACTGGCACAGTTCAAACTTATGTTGTTCAAGGGTCAACTCTATTCATATGATCTGAGGAAGTACTGAATATAGAGTGTGTTCATGAAATGTGATATATTTAATCAGCATAGAACAGATAGGGAATTTCTACACTTTTCACAATTTGGGAGGGCCCTGAAAAAGAGCACCCTTCCGGGCAGCATGTAAGCTGGAGTACCAGGTCTCCGGGGTTTGCTTCTTGACATATCAGATCAGAAGTGTGACTTTCAAAAAGCTGCCTTTTTGGAGGGTTTGTAATTTTGAGTAACTTCAATAAAATTAAATTGACCCCCCTCCAAAAAAGTAAACTGACTCCAGACATTGTTTTGCCAATTGGATAGCAGCATGCTTAAACCCCTTTATCCCTTAATAAAGGGTGGAAAATGAGACAGAAAGATCGAAGAATTGCCTGCTTGAGTCATTTTTCATTTGACTTTCCTGATGATTATAGAACGTTTAGAAATTCATTTCCCTCTTGTGGCAAGTACCTTACTTATATCTAACAATACAAAACAAGATCTGCTCTGAATTTTATCACAATTCCAACTTGTGTGCAAATGGAATGGGGTCTTTCAAATTTAAAAATGAACAACAGTTAAAGGAGAGTCTTCCAACAGTTAATGAAAAGTACTCTGTATGGAGCAAATACTTAACTAATTGTCCAACAAGAAAAGAGAGAGTAAGCATTTGGCAGTTAATAAAAGGGCTGTGTGATTCTAACCACTATCTTCTGTCAAAATAAGAGGTGACCAAAAGCTTAGTCAAATGGAACTGGATTAAAGTTAACCCATCCATGAAAAGATTTAGTTACTATTCCACCGGAAGAAAAGAGATTGCAGTCTCTCAGGGGTTTCCGTACTCTGAGCCCTGGAATAGTTATTTAAGATACGAATAAGCATTTTTCCCGCAAAATAGTCCCCTAGACTTGTAAGGCAGGGAAGTGCTGCGTTCTGCAGCCACCTGTTGGAGGTTCAAAACTTGTCTGAGTCTAGTAAGTCCTCTGAAAAGATATATAAACAAGAATCCTGTTTAATTCTGTCTGCCTTGGGGTTTCTCTAACTTAAACCTGAGTATTCAGCCCTTCTTTTCAGGATGGAACTGTTGAACATCTTGGAAAAACTTGAGTTCCACAGAACCCAGTTTGGTCAACATGGGACTAAAGCAGTAGTATTCTTCTGAAGAATTCCTAACCCCAGTGTTTCCAAAAAGAGTGAAATTTGAATTGGGCTCCAACAGATTTAAAAAAATATGCCACCTAAATGAGTGAGCTGATCATTAAAAAAAATGTTTTGGCCAGAGATTTATAGGAGAATCTGTGATGTTCTGCCTGAAACGTCCTAGTAACAGATTTATAGGTAACTGAACAGCCACTAAATCTGATACATCCCCACTGTCTGTCAGATCCTGGTTCCTTTTTAGAGCTGCAAAGCTTGGTCTTGTGTCCCCTGACTATGCCTTTAGGAGTCTAGTATGGAATTTCCCAAAGGGAGTTCCCCTTAAGGCTTCTGCCTACGACTGTTACATCAAAGTAGACCATTGTAGAGAGTAATAGTTCAAATCAGCACCTGGGCCAGATTTTCCCCTTAGAAATCATCTCTGGGTCACCATCTTCCCAGAGTATTTGTTTCAAATTATCCTAAGAAGAAATAGAGTTGTCTGACTCAGCATTTCATTCTGAGTTGGCCAGTTCTCCTTGAGTATCGGGCATTTTTCAGAGAAGTTCTTAGACTCTTTAGGCATTACATTCCTAGGAGAAAACGCCCCTGACTGGAGCCCTAATGGTCTGAGAGAACCGACCTACGCCCCCAAGTGCCTGAAATACCTGTTATTACAGGATGGTAACTCACCCAGTGATTTGGCCTCGTGTGTTTCTGGTAAGGGGTTTCCACTTTTGCCAGTTCTCACGTTACTTAACTTTTTTAAACCTCTTTTCATTTTCATTGCATTTATAATATGAGCTTTTCAAATATTCACATGAAAATATAAACCAAGAATTGCCAAGACTTGTACTTCCTATTTCCGAAGGACATTAGTCACAACTCTGGTTTTGCTCACGTTTCTCAGAAATTAAGCTTCCCACCAACAACTCCCCAGTACTATTGAGGCATTTGGGGTTTGCTCTACAGTGTTTATGGTGGATTCTTTCCTCCCATTGTTTTGTCAAAAATTCTGTTCTCTTCAGTTCTCACAGAAGCCCAGAAGTTACAACCTTCTCTGACTTTTAAGAAGGGGTTATTAAAAACCTGAATTAAAGCCTGACTTGCGTCATTTTTCATGACTCAAGCAGGAAGAAATATACTTATACATTATAAAGTTTGAAAGAGAGGATGTAATCTTGGGGAAGAAAAATTGAGGCGAGCCACATGTAAATCACTTACCCTTCCATGGTCTCCATTTATCTCTAAGTCAAGACATTTGTTTTCACTTCAGGGACTGTGCATGGGAGCTGTTCAACACCACAGAGCGCGTCTTGAGGCTTTCTAGGAAAGAAAAAAAGACATCGTTTTCAACTTAGAAGGCTAAGCTGACAAAAAGACAGCAAGAATATAAGGAAAGTTTGGAAGGAAACACTTGAATCCTTTTAATACTATTTCCCTCATTACTCATTTTTATCGTTCTTTAACTTCCATCAGCGTCTTCTTTATCCCCATTCCCTATGTCCTGGTCACCTTTCTATAGCTCACAAGATCTATTCCAAATGGATTTTGTGGTAATGTGAACCTTGTCATAAAACATTTGGAGCCAAAGCCATTCATTCTACTCCAAAGTTAGGTAAAGATTTATCCTCTTTAGTCCTGGGATTCAAGTTCTAGAAACATTCCCCATTAGGACTGGTACTTCAGGGGCCTGGGGATTCCCATGGACTTTGCACCACTGGCTCTGAAGAGTGCTAAAATCCTTGCTATTTTCTGACTGAGGAGTTTTGGAGTTGCTCCTGCCTTGGTGTGTGGAAAGCCTTGAGGAGGGAACTGTTATCTTTGTTGATTCTAGATCTGCATGTTAGGTAGGAGAGTACTTCCTGGTACTTTGGCCAACACTTGACTGGAAGCTCCATTTCACTTCCCCTAAGTCCTTCCAAAGCCATTCCCAAGAGACCTTCTCACTCTCACTCCAGCAAGAGGAGGGCCAGGGAAAGGACAGCTCCCCAGCCTCAGCTGACAAGAGCAGAATGAGAGCTGACGTGCCACGACATTGAGCTAAGTTACCGAACTGTGTTTAGGGCCAGAGGCCTAGACTTGCAAGATTTAGCCAAGTAAACGAAGTTCTCAATCAACAAGGAATGACAGGTTTTCCAATCTGAAGTGGGTTTTCTTGTTTTGGTGGCAGTAAATGTAGCTACCTATTTTCTCAAAAAAAAAAAATCAGAGAATGGAAACTGTTTATCTTGTGAACTTTTCCACAAACTATCTAGGATAAAATATTTGCAGCATTAAGGAAAAAAAAAAGGACATAATTAAGAAGTTCGAAAAGGTTTATTTTTCTAAAACAGGCCTGAACTGAAGCTGATGTTCCTCTTTCTAAATATGGGACTGTGATCAAGACAGGCCTGCGTGCTCCCCAGACTGCCTTCCTCCCGTTGGCCAAGGTCTTTAATGCCTCCTCCCCCTCCCCCATGTCCCTGGAGAACATTCTGAATGGGAAGGAGCAAAGAGCAGGGACTACTGACTCCCCCTGAGAGAGCTCACAGCCAGAGGGAAGCTTTGGTACCCACTCCCTCCAGCTGCTGCCTCCTTTCCTGATACCACAATTGAAATGATCCCTCATTCTCCAGCTCTGCCTTACCACCTCACCTCCCAGCTGCTGTCACACCTCATCAATGAATGCTCTCCCCAGGGAAAAGTCTCCTTTCATTGGTACTCCCAGATTCTTGGGTAATTGTTAAACTGGAAATTGCTTAAATTTCCTCCAGCCTATCTCACATAACATTTTAAAAGTTAAGACTTACCATTCACATAATCACAAGCTGACAGCAATCTACAGGTTGAGTGATTCTGATTTCTTCTCTCTCTCTCTCCTAGAAGCAGGTGGGTTGATATAATGCCAGCCTGAAATAGAAGCTTTATTTATAGCCTTAGCCGAATGAGCAAAGAGCTGGCATAATCAAGAGAGTACTGCATATTTTAAGGAAGGCTCTACCTTTAATATGCAAAACAGCCATTAGAAGATAACAAAAATGCAAATTTACATTCTCCTAAATTGGTTAACTGTATTAATTCCAATAAAGTTCAAAAAATAATTTTCCATCCTGCAAATGGGTTAGAGATTTTGTGCCTATTCTACAAGGACAAAAGAAAAAAGAAAAAAAGAAAACAGAAATTTGGCTGCCATGTTAAGTTTCTCCTTTTCGTTGCACACCTCCTATTCTAAATTGCTTTAATATTTTTAGTTGCCACTTTGATGAAATCAATACAGTCTGCAATACCATGCAATTAACCAACAATGATTAAGCGGGAGAGTGATTCAGACTGGGCAGAAACGTTTCAATCTTGGCGTCCAGCAACGCACTGAGTCATGTACTCATTTACGTAATGGCAAAAGAGAGGGATTCAGTTACTAATAAACTCTTTTTAGAGGCTATTTGAAGAAAACATGCTTTTTCCCTCCCCAGTTACAAAATCAGGCGCACCCCACGTGCACACACACACGTGCTGCTTTCATACACGTCAGCTGTTTCCTTATGTTTTAACCTTTTCCAGATGGTATGAATGGCCCCAAATAATGAATTTAAAAGTTATTGTTTATATATACATATATAAATATGAGGGGGAGGGTGATTTGATTTTTTAAGTGTTTAAAATTAACTGTTTAAAAAGTTGGTAAGATTGAGGAGGAAAAAAAAAGAAACAGAATGTGTGTCTGAGTTTTTCTTTCATGTCTTCTATCAAATTTTTTCTTACTCTGGGAACATCCCATGATTGGAAGCTACGAAACAACAACCTATAAAAAAATTTTTTAATGCCTGATAGCTTGTTTTTGTTCTAAAAAAAAATTAGTGTTAAATGACAGAAGTGTCTTGATTGGGTCTGTGTCTCACTGACGATTATTGTTGATTTGCTGCTGTGGGCATGTTTTATTTTTAACGTAAAAACAAGTTAACTTATTTTATTAACATGTAAAATAAGTTAAGAACACATGTTTTCTTTACTGATGTAAAGGGCTTACACATCTGACATCTCAGTTAAATCCATCCAGGCATTATTAAGAAATGAAATGTAATAAAAGACAACTGGAGTCATCTATCAGAAAAGATTTCCTCATTGAGAGAGGTAGGTTACATGAGCCTTACCGGGGACATGACATTACTTAAATATTTTTTAACATCGTTATTAGATCAAACAGTCTACAAGTAATTCCAGTCAGAGAAGCAGCAGGCCCAGCGGGATTGGATTCTGATGCTGGGGTGAGTGGAAACCACTCAGGGAGGAATCAGAGGCCAGGCTTCCAAGTTCTTCGCACACAAAATGAACAAGGGACCACGATTTGAGCTGCCGGATATCAAATCTAGTTAGTATCAACCACACCAGAAAGACAGTCTGCTTTGCTGAAGATGAATCCTGTATCACTTGCAAAATTACCTCACCCCTTTGACAGGGCTACATAAGTCATGGCCGTGACTTCCAGAATGAAATACACCTGAGCAAGAACCACAGGGCCCAGCAAGCCCTCCAGCCGTACAACACTGTCATCTAGTCGTCCTCTCTGGGTCAGCTTTCCCTCAGCCAACTCCCAGTGATGCGAGGCGTCACGCAGGATAGGAAGGCACGAAAAATTAAAAAGAGAAAAATCTTTTCTCTCGTCTTCAGGCAAATTGGTAAAAAGGGAAAGAGAAGATTGTATCATATTAAAGAGGAAAAGAACTGAAAACGTAATCACGGCACTTGTGCGATCTTCCTTCTGAGAGCAAAGGTGCTCTCTCCTTACCTTTGGTGCTCAAGGGAATGGGCTTCCGGGACATGTGCTCAGGTGGCTGACATCCTGTGGTATCATCTTCGCCCCTAGAGCTCTCGTTACGTGCCTTCCTGTGAGGAGGGAGTAAGTGGAGGAGGAAGCAGAAAGCTGACCGGAATGGTACCTGGAAACCAAATGGGTAAATGACAAGAAAGCCCAAGACTCACCTTCAGGCAGCTCTGGGGCTGCTAGCAAGGAAGTCACAGAAGGCCCCTTCACTATCCTTTAACTGCAAAATGAAGAGCTTGCCACCAGGAAGGGATTGCCTTCTCCAGGAAGATTTTCTGGTGCTGCCAAAGCTGTGTGACTAACAGTTACATCTTGGGCAGTGGGCTGTCATCTCATACCACTAACCTAGCAGGACCGAAACAGAAAGATTTTCCACGCACATAGTTTTGAATATGTTGGGCGACATCTCAGCCAACTAACACATCACAAGTTAAGTTGTCCAGCAAGCTCACTGATCAGGGAGAAGCTAGTCCCAGGACTTCGGGGCTTCTTTGTATACAATGAGAAGAAGGAAGATAACGACGTCAAATTTTAAAATGCGAGCTAAATATACTTTTCACTCAGCAGCCTGGCTTCTGGCTCTGTACTTAGAAAGACACTCTGGCCATGTGTTGCTTCACAAATTTAGAAGCCTGTCAGAGATTTGAGTTCCTGAGCGGGGGTGGAAGTGATTGTTGGTTTCATTTTCCTTGGTCATGAGGATACCATTCCAGCAAACTGCTGGTTAATGTTTCTGTGTCATTTGATATAATTGAAATAAAAGTTGTAAGTTCCTACATACTTCTTTTTTAAGGCCCATAAGTGTATTACAGAACCCAATACTCTTTTCACAATTACCTCATTGTCAGACCTAAAACCCAGGACGTGAAGAATGATGAGAAAAAAGGCCAAGTTAAGGAGGAAACTGAGAAATCTTAAGGGGGTTCCTGAGGGGAAATTCACCTAGGAATTCCGCCACTGATGGGTGGAAAATCTGCAAACGCTGGCTTCTAGGGCCTGTCACTCTGGTGCCTTTCGACTCTTACAGACAACTAAATACAAAAATTATGACCTTCTATAAAAAATTTGGATTGAGAAAGAAATCTCTTGTTAAAGCTATACAGGCATTGTTTCATTCCAGAATACTCTGAACTGGGCAAATCAGAATCTCAGAACATAACAATAAATCTCCCTAAACAGTACATGCAGTTTAGTGCCAAGTACACACACACACACACACACACACACACACACACACATGCATGCATATTACTAAGAACTATCTGGAGAAAGAGAAGGAGAAAGGCAGATGGAAAATACGTGGCTTATCTGAGGATTCCCCCTATTCTGTTTGCCTCTAATAAGGGAAAAATGAGAACAGAACCCAATCACTAAGAAGAAAGGGTCTGAAAGATGAAAACCCAAGGAAAGTCTCTGTGAAAAACAAACATACTACTACACAGATTACCTCTGTACTTGAAAGCCCTAAATCTTATATATCATTAGATGTACATTGAGTATGTTCAATAACTTTGTTCACTGTCACAATGGGAGATAAATCTATTTACCAGATCCTCAAGACAGTGGTACCACTTATATGCATCTTTTCTAACACAGCATCACTAGTCATATTATTCTTGGCACAAGAAATCAAGGATGCTAGAACCATGGCACAGAGGCAGTTTACCACTGTTCCTTTAGTCATGGGTTATTAGCTGAATGTACGGAAGACTAAGAGGTTATCTCTGTTATATACGTTCAGTGCACTCATGAAAGTTAGGTGAACACTTTTTTAAACACACATACACACACAAATCCATACCGCGGTGTGCAGAGTTCCTTTAAGCCTCACTGTGTATCAGTTCAAACATCCTATGGGGAATTAATTTCCTGAGCACAGAACAAATGTGAATGCAGAGAGATTACCAAGTCAGCTCCACCATCCTGATTTACATAAGCTCTTCTATTTTAGCAACACCTGGAGAATCCAGTTGCCTCTACTTCAGTGCTCTCAAGAGCCTTCTATGGCATTGCAATAAAAAAAAAAATTCTGGTATTAATGCAGGGCTGGTTTCAACACATGGTAGCTGGTTTCTGTTCTGAGTCTTGTGGAGTGAAAAACTGGATTCACAGAAATGGAAAATAACTGAAAAGTGTTCCCTGGCTGGTGAATCAAGAGAAGTGTAGTTCATTATTTTAGTTCAATGTATTTTCAAAATAGCATTTGGTAAGAACTGGAGAGCACAAGCTGATCAAATACATGGCAATGAGAAAATAAAAGAGAATTTCATTTTGAAAGAAAATGGATAGTTTCTGTATGTGGCAATGCCTCTAATATTGATCTTCATAGTTTGGACTTGAAACCAGTAAGTACACAGATTCTAGACTAAAATTATTTAAATGTCTGTGTATCTGTAGCCTTTTAAATGCTGCCAATATTAGCTCAAATACATGCCAACAGAAAATTCAGGAACCTCCTTAACTCCTTCCTTCTCATTCCTGATGAGAAGTTGAAAATCAGATTTCTCCAGTTCTTGTTGTGAAATATCTCTAAAATTTAATTTTCCACACATCTACGCACAATCTCCTTTCATTCATTCATTCATTCATCCACTTAATCACGTAACATCCACTGAGCATCCATTATCATAGAAACTTAACATCACGTCAATAAACAAAACTCTTACCAAACTGTGCTCCAATCTTTAATCCTGCATTTCTCCACATTAGCTTCTTTAGCTTCCATGTCGAACCCAACCTGTCTCTCATTCCCTCATTCATATCACCTAGTTTAGAGATGGGCCTTAGTGCCCAGCTGGCCAGGTACCAGTATCTGGCTTTAAGGACCTTCCTGCTTCAATGATCCACTCTCAGGGAGTCAGTGTAGTTAAGCACTAAAAAGACAGGGATCTGGAGTAAGTTCTAATGGGTAAGAGATTTAACATCTCCGCACCCCGAGCTCTCAGAGTGGCTGTAACACTGCCCTCCTCACAGGCTGCTGTGAGGCTTACCGTGAAACCGTGAGGGAGTGGGGTGTAGAACTGGGCGCCTATCACAAAGGTGCTGCAGGATGTAGAGTGGCTGCACGAAGTCACTGAGGAGGAACCCCTCTCCCACCTGGGAGTCCCAGGTTTGCTCCCTTTACAACCAGAACTAAAACAGCATTGAGCATTAATTGGCTGGGTTTATCTTTAATATAACCTCTGTAAGATTCATCACAAATTCCCCTCTCTTTGAGAGATGTTAGCTAGGAAAACTTCTTAAGCTAATTTTAACAAAGGATAATAAAATGATTCACTTCCAGATGCTGGGGGTGGAGTAGTTATTTCAATGTGAAACAAGAGTTTGAATGGGTATCTTCAAGGGGAGGCATTTCATTGGAGACATTTATTGGCTAGGGTTTTCTGTTGTTTTCAGTCTGACTCCCCAGCTTGTGTACCATTGTTTTTACATACATCCCCTTTCCCTTTTGTGCGAAGGGGAGCTATAATCCGCCTCGTTTCATGATGCTGCTTTTCATGCAGTCTGTTTTGCTCAAAGGACACATTTTTTCCAACAACTATTGTAATTATTTTCTTAGAGGACCAATTTTAATTGCCATATTGTTTAGCTAAGCCCTATTGTCGTGTTGTCCTTCAAATTTGTCAGTTGCTTTAAGAAACAGGGGTGGGAGGGGGGAGCTGATAAGCACATTGTTGTAATTGATTTGTATGTTTGAACTGTCTTATCAGAAAACAAGGTTATGAATTTCATCTGTTGAGACACAAAAATAAAATACTTTCCTAAAAAAATCTTACTTGTTTGTGAATGTCCATTTATTCTTCCCCTCATCCTTTTAATGTTTCAATAATAGTGTTGTTTTATTAATCATTTTAATCATAACAGAAGCTCAGCCTTCTCCTGTATTCATGGGTATAGCTGAATTACTATACATACTTGGAAAACAGAAAAATAAAACTGTTCAAGATTAAGAATTGAAAACATAGGAAGAACCCATTCTGAGGTATCTGCATTCAAGGATGACCATGGAATCACATAAAACAGATGGGAATGAAGAAATACGCCTTCCAAGGTATACAGTAACATGACCTCTTTTCTTTACAGCAAAAAAATTGTCACTGTAAGTGATGGGAAATGACCATGAGATATTATTCCTGTCAGTTAGGAAACTTTAAGAAATGAAATGAAGAGAATTAAGCTTGACTTCTAAAAAAATTTCTGGGGCCAAGATTCTGCCATAGTAATTGAGAGAAATTTGACCAAAATAAAACAGAAACATAGTTGGTATCTTAGCTTGGACTTCCAAAACAAAATCTCACAGGCTGGGAGGCTTAAACAACAGAAATTTATTTCTCACAGTTTTGGAGGCTGGGAAGTCCAAGATCAAGGTGCCAGCAGGGTCAGCCTCTGGTGAGAGCTCTCTCCTTGGGGTACAGACACCTCCCTTCGCACTGTGTCCTCACACGGCCTTCCCTTGGTACATGCACAAGGCGAGAGTACCTCTTCCTCCCTCTCTTCTTGTAAGGCCCACAAATCCTATCAGATTAGGACCCACTCTTATCATCATATTTAACTTTAATTTTTTTCTAGAAGCTCTATGTCCAAATACTATCACAATGGGGGTTAAGGCTTCAACATACTAATTAGGGCGGACATCATTCAGTTCATAGCAGTTGGTTCTGGTACATTAATCGAGTGTTCCATCACCTTCGTTTACCATGAACACAAGAGGCGGTGTATGTCCCATACGCTTAACAGAAACTGACGACTAACAGAATTCTTGAGCTACTCTTAACTTACAGCTTGCTAAAAACCTGCCCGCTTCGTAGCCTACCTGAGCAAATTCGCTTTCATTATTTAGTTGTAAACTGTATACCCTGCAACCTTTATGGAGCCCAAACAAGATGTTTGAGCTGTTTTCCACAAACTTCAAGTCAGCCATGGCGAGTTCAAGCTCCAGCTGGCTAAGACAGGTTGGTACCAGTGACCCTAAAACTGGGTCTATGCAGGTATCCGATGAATGACCTTTTGACATCAGAGGGCCGAACACTCGACCCTTGGACCATGCTAAGCACCTCCATTTTTAAACATACATCCCATGAAGACGCATGCAACTCAGACACGCCTGCACAGAACACCCCAGTCCTCAACTTTTCCCTACCTCCAATCAGCTTTCTCCACATCTAAGAACACCCTGCTTCTTATCTGCAAACATCCCAAGCCCCTGGCCGTCAGGGAATTTAATCAGACTTGTTCTCCCATCTCCTCGCTTGGTTGCCCTGTGAATAAACCCTTTCTCTGCTGCAAATCTTGGAGTCTCAGGGTTTTGTCTTGCTGCCCGTCAGGCAAGTGAACCTGGTTTGGCA